ACCCCCGACCCCCCCACACCGCCGACACAAAGGCCCTGGGCGTGTCTCCAGTCGACGACGCGACGGCCGCGCACGAGGCGCGCGCCCTGGAGGAGGTCGGCCGCATCCTGGCGCCCGTCAAGGACGTGTCCTGGCCCAGCGGGCGGGCGCAGAACAGCGGCCTCGCGCTGCCCTCCTGACGCGCGCCGCGCGCCGCGCGGCCGGCGCGCGGCCGGCCCGTGCGGCGACTCGCCGCGCGCCCTGGGGCCCGTCGCAGCCGAGCTCACATAATCGGTTTCACAATGATGGCTGGGCTGTTTTTCAAGACCCTGTCGGCAAATACACACTTTCACAATCCTGCTTTTGTTGACTATGTTGACTTTTCAGTTGTCAAACTCTGCCTGTCAACCAACTTTATTGCGGTGCAATGGTCACAATGTAAGGCGACATTAGCAGATCCAAGACATCTCGAGCCAACACTGGCTGAACAGCGGGGAGGCAATCCGCACTCTTCCCCTGCATCCAAACGGCGCTACTGTCTGCAGCGCTTTGGGGTGACCATAAGGAAGTTTTGGATACTGCAGTGGGGCTATGACTTTCTCCTGAAGCGGGCTGCAAATACACGCGCCTTGGCAAGCATCTGGTGGATGGGCGGCCGATGCCAAGCAGGATCGAGCGCAATAGGCTCGCAATGCACTCATATTGGTACAGGAGGGCAGCGGACAGTAAGGCCCGCAAAGTAGTGTGCATGCTTAAATGGGTCTATGCTGCATACCAAAACGCGTCCAAATTGCATGGCAGCGGTGTGCCCCATCTTGTGTGGCGATTTTAAAGCAAACCAGACCGAGCATCAGCCCAGCATTCGGCTCCTGCTTATGTACTAGCTGTTTCATTCTCTAGTCAAGCCTGTCTTCATCCCTCGGCTTGGCTGGGGCTCTGACCAATCCCATTCTCAGCGGGCGGCGCATGGCTGGCCGTGTTGCGTATGCGGGTCAACTCCGGCATGAGGATTCAAAGTGGGAACCCACACAAGAATGACAGTGCATTGTTGACACTTGATGGCATCCTGGTCTCTGCCATCTCGACGCATGGCCATCATACTATATACCGTATAGAAGCAGCAGTTTTGTTTTGTCCTATGAATCGCAATAAGGCCCAGGCATGAGCCGCAGTGTGGCTGTTGACAGTCCTGCTGTCACTCGGGCATCCAAGGCATCGAGTGCGGCAGTCCTGCTTGCACGTGCGCAAGTGGGACGTGCACGCCGCGGACAATTGCATTGATATTATACCATACAACCCCGAAGACGATGCTGTGCCTGTTTGCAAGCTCGCCGTGTGTCGTGTACCACTTCAAGGACGCAGGATCGCTGCTGTTCCGCCAGCAGCAACGGCCCTACAGCCTTCACGCCGTCAGCAGTGCGATGCTAGCGTGTTTTAACTGCACCAAAATGCCGGACGCGCCCCCTGACCCCGGCGGCGGGTTCCCGCCGTTTGCGGGTGGAGGGAGATACCCGAGCATCGATGGCGGCGGCGACGGGGACGGCGGCGGCAGCGGCGCGGAGCAGGCAGGAGTGTGGGCAATGCCAAAAGCCTCGGGCACCGAATATGGCGGCATGAACAAGGCCACCCTGGACGCCGCCCTGTCGGCGCGCGGCGTCACCGCCGGCCCAACCCTTGGGCTGCTCGCCCGGAGCAGCGCCAGCAGCAGCGGCAGCCATGCCAGCCTTGGCGGCAGCAGCAGCGCCGCGACCAGCACCTGGCTGGACGGCGCCAGCGACGGCAGCAGCCCGTCGGCCGCGCCGCCGCCGTCGCCGTTCGGCGCCGGCGGCCTCGCGAGCGACGACGCGGGCGCGGGGGCGCACCACCGCCGGTGGGGCGCTGGGCGGCGGCCGCCGGCGGGCGGCAGAGGCTTCCTGGGTGCGGCGGTGGCGGCCGCATCTCAGCAAAGCGCGAGCGAGCCTCGCGCCGCTCGGGGCGCCTCGGACGACGCCGCGGCGCCGGCCGACGCGTCCGCCCGCGGCCAATGCAGCAAGGTCGGCGCGGGCCGGCGGGTGGCGCCGACCCTCGCAGGCATCGCCGCAGCTGCGGGCGCGGCCGTGGCGGGCGCAGCGGCGAGGGTCGCACGGGCCGCGTCGCTGGCGTCGCTGCACCCAGCCGTGCGCGCGCACCTGGAGGGCTCCCTGGGCATCGCATTCAGCGGCGGCGGCTTCCGGTAGGCCGTAGCGACTTGGGCGGCCCGTTTGCAGTGAGCTGGGGTCGGCTTGGTTTGGCAAGCAGTACTCGTGCAGTCTTTGTCCCCATTTGCAGCCCGGAAGGGCGTCCGACCTGCTGACAGCAAGCCCCTGCCTCCCGCAGGCATGCAGACTCTGTTTGCGCGCACGCGCACACGCACACGCACACACACTTGCACACACACACACACGCACGCACACACACACACACACACACACACACACACGCACGCACACACTCACTCGCGTGCACACACACACACACACTTGCGCGCACACACACACTCACACGCATGCACGCAAGCACGCTCGCGCGCGGGGGGTGTGAGCTGCATCCAGTCCCCACCGGGCAACTTTCCCCTGCTCCCCCCTTGGCCCCCCCCCCCCCCCCCCCC